TGAGTTCAAGGCCAGCCTTGAACACACAGGGAGGCCCTGTCTTGAAAAGAAACAAAAACCAACCAACAAAAAAATCCTTTCGGCATAAATGAGTTAAAGTAAGGCATTACACAGGATAGTACTAAACAACAAAGAGCTATATATAACGTTTTAATTACTTGCTGAAACCTACCAACCATCACCCACTACCATGTAACTCAGTTTCCTTAAATCTGTACTTGGGAAAGAAGTGTCAACTCTAGATACAAACTAGAATAATTTGCCTAGATTCCTCCAAGTAATTTAAATCAGGATCTCTAAAGGCACAATGATTAAGAACCACAGAAATAACTGCTGTTTTTCTATTAAGCCAAATCACTGTGAAAACTAATACTGGCAGGCTAAACTACCACCTAAAACACACCTATAATCAACAAGTACTTTAATATGCAACCAAGGGGGAAAACTCATTTGCACTGCCAAGGCATAGAAAAAGGTTGGCCAATGGCTACTAAGTTATAAGTTAGACAGCAGGAAGAAGTTCTGGTGCACTACTGCACAGTAAGGTAATTGTGGGTAACAACCTATTGTGTATTTCAAAAAAGCTAGAAGAAAGGATTTTCCAAGTTTTTGTCACAGACAAATGGTAAATGCTTGAGGCAAAATATTTTTAACTAATTTAAACACTGCATAATGTATACATGCACTGAAACATCACACTGCACCTCATTAATACAATTTTCATGTGTTAAAAAATATAAAACACAATGTAAATAATCAGTTTGCTTAAAATAGTCAACCCAAGAAGTGCATCACTCTACAAATTCATTCAGTTACAAAGCAAACTTCTATAAGCCCTCAGTCTAAAGTGCTCAGAATGGGGGTGGGGTGGTGGGGTGGTGGTGGTGTGTGTGTGTGTGTGAGAGAGAGAGGGGAGAGAGGGGGGAGAGAGGGAGGGGGGAGAGAGAGAGAGGGAAAGAGAGGGAAAGAGAGGGAGAGAGAGAGGAGAGAGAGAGGAGAGAGGAGAGAGAGAGAGATACGCTGGACAAACATTCTAAGCTAAACCCAGATCACTTTATTTGTGACCACCCTTTGTTCTCAGAGCAAGAAGCTTTCAAAGTTTTTAGAAATGAAAATCCTACGTTAATTTCTTACTAAATGAGAAATTAGGGGCTGGGGGTGTAACTCAGCAGCACAGCTCAGGGGCATGGTGCCTGCCTGGCAAGTGCGAGGTCCTGAGTTTGATTCCCAGTACCAAAAAAAAATTTTTTTTTTTTGATAAAACCATAATTAAAAAAAAAAAAAAAAAATCAACATCACAACATCACCTAACAGTGATTCCAATCGTAATCATGCACTTTTAGGGAAATTACCATACTTACATTTTCCTTACTCATTTCACACAAGGTACTAACACTTTCAAGCCTAGATGGAAAGCCCATTCTCTCCAATTCAATTATTCTAAAACCAGCAGTTCTTACCACAAGTCCCACTGTAATATCCACAAGATTTAAGGATTTATATCTAGATAACAGTACCACATGTCAATTACAAGGTATGAATTCCTTTAGTCAGTTGTAGTATCACAAGACCTGGAAAAGTTGGGTGTGGTGGTGCATACCTGTAATCTCAGCACTCAGAGGCTGAGGAAGGAGGATCACTGAGAGTTGGAGGTCAGCCTAGGCTACCTAGTGAGTTCAAAGCCACACTGAACTAGACTGGAGAAGAGAAAAAAAGTGGACCATTCAAGAAAATTTACTTCAACTATATATACACACACACTTCAGAACTGTGTACCTGTGTATTTTCCTCATGCTTCTTAAAAAAAGGGAATATGGTAACTTCTCTATTGGTTCCAAATTCAACACAGTACAAAGCAAAGAAATGTTTATTAGCTATACTCACACACAATTAATGATTAGTTCTCTGAAGTGTACCCTGGTAGCTTAAAAAAATCAAGTATTAGTTTGCACAGAACCTCTAATCCTATTCAAAGGATAAGAAGGGGGAAAACTCATTAAATGTTGAGCACTGGCACTTCAAACGCCACTTCCTTTTGGGTAAATGTACTTTACACTAAACAATGATCCAATAATAATTTTCTATTTGCTTTCACTGATTATCACTTACAGGTTAATGCTTTAACAGCTTTCTAAGACATTAAGATCACATGATTCAACAGGCAATGTACAGATATTTGTTAAGAACTTACCAATCTGTCAATTATTTTTAAAAGTTCATGTAACTCTTAAATATACATAGCAATATAATATTTATAACCAGAAACTGTACTAAGTAGACACATCATTTAAGCTCTACCTGAAAACATGCCACTTTAAACAAATCCTAACACCGGAACCCTGATGTTACATAGTTTAACAATTAGATCTTACCAAAGCAGCACAGATTTCCCTTCTTAAAGACAAGTTTAAAGTATACCAGCAATATGACAAATTACACTATAGGTAACACAAAGAAATCCTGAAGTTCATCTGAAGAATGTCAGAAAGTTACCAGAGAGGTCGTGTAGTGGCCTTGATATTTATTTTAGTTTACCTAGTATTCTACAAATTCTAAAATTTATTAAAGATTTATCTTTAAACAGCACCAGTCTTGCCCACTGATACAATTAAAATTTGACTTTCTCAGTTCTTAGTTCACAAGTTTATTATGAAAAACACTGCAGTATTCTTGTGCAGTAACATCGTCTTACAGGAAGGGGGAAACATTTCTGTTCAGAACAACTCACCAGGTTCTGACAATAACAAAGAACATAGGGGTGAGATTTGAGAAGGGAATAAACTGAGTGCAGACAAATCATACAATTAAATTAAACAGTATCCCTGAAAATAAACAAAACAAGTTCAAAACTCACAAGTAAAGGGGAGGCTTGGTACTTATTTTAAAAATGTTCATTAAGCGCCAATGATTGTTTGCTGCTATCCTTATCTACAGTCATGCTGAGTAAAGCTATAGCTAAATGGAAGTTAAATTGTATTCACGAGGTGTTAATGTTTACATCTTATTATCTGCAGTCTCTCAGAGAAAGCAAAAAGTAACTACAAATAGCGCTATGCCAGAAACTGGTTTCTTGACCAACAATGTCGCTTCAGCATGCAATGAACTGGTTCATTCTAAAGTGGTCACGGCTGTTGATGACAAGAGGCTTTGTATTTTTATATGGCACATCTTTTGGTCCGTGTGAAAACAAGTTTTTGAATGTTAACTATTTTCTGACACTCTGGAGTTACTGTTGCTCTTCCCATTTCCATTAGGTCAATAAATGGTTCATGGCAATACTGTACAAGTTTAAAATTTCATTACAGGAAGTAGTCTGGGGTACGACGAGTGACATGTGGCTCGCCTCTACGAGGTGCTGGATCAAACTGCAAGCTGAAAAATAAGACAAAGTTCATTGTTCATATTTAAGGACGAAGGAAGAACTTCTGTCTTTCAAACTTTATGTAACTTTTTCCTATCCAATTTTTACTTGGGTAGAAAAACAGAACTTTAATTGCAATTGAACTCACACGCTTCAGGTCCTTTAGCTGCACTCCGCTGCTAAAAACTTCGCTAACTTCATCTAGGAAAGCTATGCTTCTACTATACAATGGGGCTCCTTCTCAGACCGTCTGAAAGAATGTCTCTACCAAATAAGTAAATCTTAAAGCTCTAAATATTGTATCTGTCTTCTCATCCTCAGAATACACTTTATTAAATCCACAATAAAAACAGGTTTAAAAACTGAACACCTGGTGCTCAACAATAGGGTCTACACAGGGTTAGTTTGTGCTGATGTGTTTCAATATATCCTAGGTCCATTTTCAAGAAAATTTAAAAATCAACTTGGAATTAGCACGAATTCATGAACACTTATACCTCCCAGTAAGAATAAGAATTCATTGACAGCAGCCAAATGCTCAGGTATAAATACTTACAAAGAATATTTTAGAGTATCATCAAGTTCCATGATTGCAGCTTGGTTACCACAACGATAACAATAGTTTGGAGCACTGAAAATTGTGACTACATTCCGGTCATGGCACCAGTTATATCCCTACAAAGAGGGAAAGAAGTTCTTTACTCCATAATTTACATACAACAACAACAAAAACCAGAAAAACCTGCAACTTCTCCCCATATGGCTTAACTTTCCGTATTTTGTACAAACTATAAAAAATATATATGTATTTACTTTTTCAAATTAACAAAGCAAAACAGTCTTTTATTATAGAAAGAAAAAACAACTGGGCATGGGGATCACACCTGTAATCCAAGCTACTTAGGAGGCTAAGGCAGAAGGATCACAAGTTCAAGGACGACCTGAGCAATTACCCAAACCCTGTCTCAACAGTAAGGACAAAGGGTGGGTGGGGTGGGGGTTGGAGCTCTCTTGCTTACCATGCAGGAGACCTCAGGTTAACCTAAACCCCCTTGGGGAGGGACTTCAAAAAATATATACCAATAAACTATATACACAGCCAGCCCTCTGTAAATGCCTGTGCCTCATCAGCCTCTTGACAAAGTGAACTAAACATGATCTAAGAATGAAGCACGCCTGTAATCCCAGTCCTTGGGATGCTGAGGCAGGAGGGCTGCTGAGAGTTTGAGGCCAGCCTAGGCTAGTGTGTTCAAGGGCAGTCTGAACTACAAACTGTGACCCTGTGTCAAAAATAAAAACAAAACAAAAAGAATGAAGAACATGATTTAAGATACAGGACTCTATGACCATCCCTTGTAGAAGTAAATACATACTGCTACAGTTTAAATATTACATGTCTCCCAAAGACACATGTTGTGTTAAAGGCTTGATCCCCAGGACAGTGATACAAGGAGGAGACAGGACCTAGGGGCAGGTTCTTGATCACTGGGATGTGCCTTTGAAGAGGACTGTGGGGCCCAAATGTGTCTGTCTCGGTTTCCTGGTTCTAGATGTGACTCCTGCTCTCAGACATGTACCCACTATGATGTGCCGTCCTTACCAGAAGCCCAACCCAATGGGGCTGCCCAGTCCTGTACTTGAACCTTCAGAACTCTGAGCGCAAACAAATCTCTCTTTGGCTTGCATCAGGTAACTTGTTACAGTGATAGAAAGCATACTAACACACCTACTCCTAGGGAGTGGAATCTTACTAATTTTCTTCTCAGGTATAGGGAGAAGGTCCCAAAGCTGACCAATACCCATAAACAAATGAGACACACCTCTGTAGTCTCTAGCTTTACATCCTCAGTCCATCTGAATGCATGAGCTACTTCTGTTACTTTTTGTGTTTAGTGTTGTTCACAAATTTCTCACAACTGTATTAGTAATTTAAGTAAGATCCTAATTCTAAAAGTATGCTAATCAATATTCTATGCCAAGAATCCTAGCATGTTTCCCATTGTTTCTTCTTTCAAATCACTTGCAACCCTACAACACAAAGAACCACTTCAGTATTGCAGTGTTTTTTTCCTAGCTTTCCTGCATACATACACATGCTAAATAAGCAAAAATAGGATCATAAAATGACATAATCCACCCCCATCTCCCTGTGTCTTATTTCCCTAAATCTCAAGCACTTCCCAGTCATTAAGAATTCTCTGAAATACATTAAATAAGTAACTCATTATCAAAAGCTTGGTTTTGAATCTAGTGTGCAGCTACCAAAAAGGTCAAGCTACAAAGGCAAACTCAAGAGAAGGAATACATGCAATGTCTCAGTAATAGCATTAAAGTAAAACTCCTTAGTATCTTCTGTTTAGTTTACTAAAAAGCAAGTCTTATTTCAAAGAACAGAACATACCTCCATCACCAGCTGGTGAGCTCTAGACACCAATGTGAGGCCATTGGCATGATTAAATGTCTCCGATATATCTTGGCCAAAGGTGTAACCAGCTCCCCGAGGAGATATACCCCAACCACCACGATCGTCTGGATCTGACCACAGCAAATCACACATTGGACCCTGAAAAGCAGGTTCAAGTTATACATGATTTGAGTAACTCATCAGAAGCAGCTTTCTATGTCACTTTTGAGTGCTGTTTGCTGAAAAGAGTAATAGTTCTTTTAGCTAAGACATCTGTGAAATGACAGATGTTTTCCAAAAGTCTTTATGACAAACAACTGGCATTAATGTGTGGGCGTCTCGATCTGCCTACAGTATGCAAATTCAGTACCAGACAGTATGAACTGGCAGTTAGGACAGGTTCTAATAAACCCAGTCCCCACACCTATTGTGATCTTGGAAGACTTCTAATCTTGTGTATAACAGAGGTGACAAGGAGTGTTCACACCTAGGGGAATGTTTAACACATAAAATGAACTTATAAACTTCTCTCTCTAAAAAGTTTTCTGAAAAGAATTTATTACCAAGTAAAAGCCATACCTCATGGGGAACTTCTTGTAGGCGATCAAGTGCTCTGATGTGATCCAGTGTATCTATGGACGGAGAGAGGCCACCATGTAGACAGAAGATCTGAAAAGATTGGTTTAAAATGTTAACTTCACTTAAAATATTCTAGACTAAGTTACAGATAGCTGCCCTCCTCATTTGGCCCAACTGGTGTTTCCGTGCTTTTCCTGTAGAGGCCTGCCCAGAAGATCCAGCTCTCCTCCAGCCCACTGGGAACTACTGAGTACTCTCTTTCTTCCTAACACCACCCACGCTACATTCAGGCTCCACCTTGATCAGCTCCTTCAAGCAAATGTTACTCTAATGTTATCCTCTCCTTCAAGCAAATGTTACTCTAATGTTATCCGCTCCTTCAAGCAAATGTTACTCTAATGTTATCCACTCCCTTCCACTGATACTAACTCTAGTATTTTCACATTCACAGGCTTTTCTTACAAGTTCTACGTAACACCTCTATCTGGAACACTAAACAGCTCTTTGCATCTCCCAGACTTAGGCTATATTTTCTACCCCTGTGATCCCACCCCACACATTCAGTGCTTGCTACAACGAAGGCACAAAAACAAAAAAACCCCACCAAATCCCAAAAGGAAAACAAAGTCATTTGCATCTAAAAATTTGTTTCGTTTTTCGACAGGTCTCGTTATGTAGTCCACGCGGGCCTCGAACTCACAGTGATCCTCCTGCCTCAGCCTTCCAAGTCCTGCGATTACAGGTGTGTGCCACCATGCCCAGCTTGCATCGAAACATTAATAAAGCAGATTTTCCCTGCACTCTTGGAGGGCAAGGCAGGAGCATTACAAGTTCAAGACTCTGTCTTAAAACTGAGGGATTTATTTACTTATTTTTGTCTTTCTGAGACAGGTCTCACTATGCAGTTCAGGCTGGTCTTGAGCTCACTTTGTAGCCCAGGCTTGTCTTGAACTCGCAAGGATCCTCCTGCCTCAGCCTCCCCAGTGCTGGGATTACACGCACACGCCACCGTGCCCGGCTTGCCGGTCTCAAAATTTAAAAAGGGCTGGGCATCTAGTTCAGTGCAAAGGCCCTGGATTCAAATCTTCGGTCCCACAAAAGGAAGATAGAAAAAAAAATAGAAGGAGATTTCTTGGATGATGACACATGCGTATAAACCTCATCATCTGGGAGGCTGAAGATTACAAGTTCAAATCTGGCTTGGCCAGCCTGAGAGTTGCAGGGGAGAGTAATGGAATGAGCAGATCCCTAAAAGTAACAGTGAGTTTTAAAATGCACAAACCTGCCCATCCACCAAGGCAGTGAGAGGAAGATAATCAAAAAGATCTGTAAAATATTTCCAAACATTTGCATTTCCATATTTTCTTAAACACTCATCATAGAAACCATAAACTTGTGTGATTTGTCTGCTCTCATGATTCCCTCGAAGAATAGTGATGCGTTCACGGTAACGAACCTAAAACAACAAAACAGAAAACATAAATGCCTAGTTCCTTCAAAAATCAAGTGACAATTTGGGAAGCTTTCCATTGGGAAATATGGAGCTCCAAATTTGCTAAAAAAAAAAAAAACCCTCTCCACATTACACTGAAAAAAGATCTACAAATATAAATGCCCATGAGATGTTTTGTCAACCCCATCTCAATCAAATCAAATAACTTTGACCACCCACTTTATACCAAGAAATCAGGGGTTATTAAACCTCATATGTGAGTATTTTTTCCAGTTCAAAGACTTTTAGTAAATTTAGTTACAGAACAATTATCACAATCCAGTTTAGAACCTTCTCATTGGCTCAAAAAGCTCACATGCCTGTCTGCAGTCACTCTCCACTCCCAGCAGCCACTGATTTACTTTCCTTAAGACTGCCTTTTCTAGGAATTTCATAAAAATGCAGTAACACAAAACGTAGTCTTCTGTGTAAAGCCATCACCTGGAATATTTTAAGACTCACTCGTGTGTTGCAGCACAGATCAGTGGTTTATTCCTTTTTTTTTTTTTGGTTTTTCTCCGGTACCAGGAACCAAACTCACGACCTTGCGCTTGCCAGGCAGGCGCTTTGCCGGTGAGCTAAATCCCCAGCCCCCTATTCCTTTTTATAGTACCACTTTTTGTTAGTCCCTTTACCAGCAGGATGAATTGGTGACTATTTCCAGTTTTTGGCTATCATGAAGTGGTGCTAAGATCATTTGCATGAACATACGTTTTCATTTATCTTGAACAGATTATTAGGAATATTAACTGTTAGTATAGTAAGCATATGGTTAACTTTTTGAGAAACACGTAAGTGGCTGAGCCATTTCACATTCGCACTAGCAACGCAAGAGCATCCTTAACTCTGCATATTCAACAATGCTTCCTATCAAGAGCCTTAGATTAGTCATTCTAACACATGTGAAGTGCTATCTCACTGTTAGTTCAATTTGCATTTTCCTAATGACTAAAGGTGTTAAGCATCTTTTTATGTGTTTATTAACCATGTACCTGGTGGATGAAATAGCTTTAAATATTTTTCCCATTTAAAAGTTACCTGTCTTGTTATTAAATTTAGAGGTCTTGTAAAGAACTACTTGAGGAGCTGGGCAGGGTGGTGCATGCCTGTAATCCCACTACTTGGGAGGCTGAAGCAGGAGGATTGCTGCAAGTTTGAGGCCAGCCTGAACTATGCAGCAAGACCCTGTCTCAAAAAACAAAACAAAACAAACTGAAGATGTGGGTGTGACTCAGTGGCAGAGTATGTACTTACTACCATATAGGAGGCCCTGGATTCAATCCCTGGTACCAAAAATAATTGAAGATTAAAATGCACAGTAAACATTTTAAGATTGAAAAGACTTTTTTTGCGATGTCTTTTGAAGAACACAAAAATTTTATTTTCAGAAAATTATGGTTTTTTTGTTTTTTTTTTTAACACATCATAAAATTTCTGTAAGTGGGGCATGGTGGTACATGCCTCCGGAGGCTGAGGCAGGATCATTGGGAGTTCAAGACCAGCCTGGGCTACAAAGTGAGCTCAACCAGCCTGAACTGCACAGCAAGACCCTCGCTCAAAAAGACACAAAAATAAAATAAAATAAAATTTTTGTAAACATATCTAAGAAGTCTTTGTCTAACAAAAGATCACAAAGATTTTTCTCCTACAACTTATCCTGTAAGTTTACACCTTAGACCTTGCATTTAGGTCTTTTTTGGGGTGGTGGTGTCTGTGGGTTTATTGTTCTTTATGTGGTGCTGAGGATTCAGCCCAGGGCTTTGTGCATGGTAGGCAAGCACGCTACCACGCTACCACGGAGATACATCCCCAGCCCTATGACTGATTTGTTCTACCACTATTTACTGAAAGGGCCATCCTTTCTCCCAGTTCTCATCTGTTGCTAGGCCCAGCATAACAAAGAACCACAGAGTAAGAGAAACTTACTTCCTCACATTTCTGGAGCCAGAAGTCCAAAGTCAAGGGGACAGGGAGGTTGGTTTCTTTTAAAAGTCTCTCTCCCTGACTTATAGATACCGATGTTCTCCGTGTCTTCCTATCTTCTTTCCTATCTCTGCCCTGATCTCTTTTTCTAAGGATACCACTCAAGGGATTAAGGCCCTCCCATTATACTTCATTTTACTTAATTACCTCTGTAAAGGCTCTCACTTTAAAATACACATTCTGAGGTCCTGGGGATTAAGACTTCAATACATGAGATTTGAGAGGACACAATTTTCTCATGAGTGATTTTTTTGAGACAGGGTCTTGCTATTAGTTCAGGTTCGTCTCATATGCATGGTAATCTTCCTGCCTCAGCCTCCCAAGTGCTGGGATTACAGGCCACGTGTAGCTCCAGGGCAAATTTTCAAGGTAGAATACATTTGCTCCTCTTCTATGCATTGAGATCATTCCTATGCTTTTAAGCACAGGTGGTTTGCTAGGTTCCTTCATAGTATCTAGAGCTACAGGAGATAACTTTCTTATCTAATTCAACTCTTTCACTTTACAAAATGCAAAATATGACTTCCAAAAAAAGTTCTGTAACTTTTTACACAATTAAGGTATCAATTACTGGCCAGGTATGGTGGCACATGTCTGTAATCCTAGCACTCAGGAGGCTGAGGCAGGAGGATTGTTGCATTCAAGGCCAGCCTGGGCTACATAGTTCAGCACCAGCCTGCACTACACAGTAGGACCTTGTCTCAAAAAACCAAAAACAAACAAATATATTAATCACCCTACAATTCAGCTCTTGTTGAAACCATGACCCACTATTTCTTTAATATTGAAAATGTGGCACCCACTTTATTGTTGTGTGTGCTGTTTAACATGAGTCTGGTGTCTAGGAAAAAGATGAGAAAAGAAAGAAAAAGGAAAGCCTCCCCAAAGATAAAGCCAAGCAAGTTTTTTATAAGCAAAAGGCAGAAACGTTCTATCCTAAAAGCTATACAGTATTTTCTGTTTCACCTTCATATCTTCATCTGTACATTTCACAAAACTACAACTAACATAAAGTTTGAATTATTTCATTTCTAAATAAGGAATTTTATTCTAATATTTAACATACAAGGGGCTGGGGATTTAGCTCAGTGGCACAGCGCCTGCCTGGCAAGCGCAAGATCGTGAGTTCGGTTCCCGGCACGGGGGAGCGGTAACCCCAAAAATAAAATTTAACATACAAAGAAAAACTATAAATCACTAGGAAAAAAAAAGAACATTTAAGAGGTCTGTCTTACCAGGTTCAAAAAGACCAACATAAAAATTTAAATTACCTTAAGAGCTACAAGCAGTGTGACTGTTTCAACTGAATAATATCCTCGGTCGACATAATCTCCCATAAACAAATAATTTGTGTCTGGTGATTTGCCACCAATTCTAAACAGTTCCATGAGATCATGAAATTGCCCATGTACATCTCCACAGACAGTAACTGGACATCGAACCTCTTGCACGTTGGACTCTTTTGTCAGGATTTCTTTAGCCTAAGACAGAGAAAAAACAAAACAGTATGTTTGGCGTTAAACAACATTTAACAAAGATATGCTTACTCACACTGTTTTACCAGAGCCGATATAAAATGAAACTGCAGGGATTTATGATCACATCAAAATGGACAAGATGCGGCTAGACTCCATCTACTGGCTATACCACCCCTCCTATCTAAAAGTGTATGAAGGAGTGTAGTCTCACTCCTACCATTAATATCAGGAGTTGTTAAGCCTATCAAATTATCGTCTAATTAAAATACTGTAAGAGATCATTACCACCCTCAGAAGATCAACGAAAATGGAGTAAGACATACAGGTTCCCACTTCCCCAGTTGTAACTATATAATGCTGCCATTCCGTAATTTCAGGTTATCCTGGTATTGCTTCACTTTTCAATTTTTAATAGAGATTAAAATTTTGTCCGCTATTTTAATGTCTTTATACCCAAATACAGACTTCTTAGTTTATAAATGGTTTAGTCAATATACATGCATTGTACAAGCAGCTTTTTATTTGGCACAGTATGTACTTTCCCATATAATCACAAATACAAACATTATTTTTAATGGCAAAGTAATATTTCTCTCAGTAGAATACCTACTGTTCATTCACTCAACATTTAGGAGACCATCATTTACTCAATCATCCAAATCACAGCTATGTACCTAGCCCTGTGCTAGGCACTAGGAATACAGTAGTATACAAGGGGGATTATTTCTACTACAGTGGAGGAGAAAGGGTTACAGAGAAGGGTGGGGTACAGTGTCATGAAAGAAAGGAAGAGAATTACCTAGAGAAGACCACTTTAAATCAGTTCAAAGGGCCAGAGAATTGTTGCCAATGAGCAGATTACTCGTTACATCTTGAGTGACAACCAAAGAAGACAAGTTTAAGGCAAAGGTATGCAATGCTAACTAACATTGAAAAGCCCAATGTTCATGGTCCCCCTCAATTACAATCTTTGAGAATGGAACTCAAACATCAATTTTTAAGCCCCTGGTGGTTTTTCCTGTCTCCAAGTAAGTTTAAGAATCAGTTTTCAGCCAGACATGGTGGCACACATCTAAAATCCCAGGTTTCTGGAAGACTGAGGGAGGAAGATCACAAGTACAAACCCAGCCACACAACTTAATGAGATCCTGTCTCCAAAATATTAATTCAGTATAAAGGGCCAGGGGCAAAGCTCAATATGAGGCAGTTGGCTTAACCTTAGGAAGGAAGAAAGGGAGGGAGACAAGGGGAGGGGAGGGGAGGGGAGGGGAAGGAGGGAGGATTAATTGATTTCTGTTTTCCAAACACTGTGGATAGCCCATTTCCAGACACTCACCAACTGCTAACATCCTTAGTACTCATCTGATCTAACGTTTTACCAGGATTAGGAAAAAAACCACTGTTTCAAAAAAAAGAAAAAAAAAAAAAAAAGGTGTAAGAAATATATAAACCCACTGTAATTAGGTTCTTTATTTTGAAAAGTTCCCTGGCTGGTAATTCTAATATCGCCTGTATTAAGTTGGGGATATAGCTCAGTGGCACAGTACTGCCTGGCAAGTACAGGGTCCTCAGTTCAATTCCGGGTACAAAAAACCCCAAAAAACAAACCTGTAGCCAGGTGTGGTGGTGCATGCTTATAATTACTGCACCTGGAAGGCTGAGGCTGGAAGATCCTTGTGACTTCAAGACCAGCCTCAGTTACAAAGTGAGCTCAAGGCCAGCCTGAACTGTACACCGAGACCCTGTCTCAAAAAGACCAAAAAAAAAAAAACTCCCTGAATTATCATCACTAAGAGACAGACATTCATTAGGCATATCCCATAACTAAGTCAGCCTAGGAGAAACAACACATCTGTGTTTTCAGCTACAAGAACACAATAATAAAAATAGTAGTCACCAAAATTTATAGGTCCCACCTCAAAGAAAATTTTAGAAGTTTTAAAAGACAATGACCCAAAGAAAACAAATGGTCAACAACATACCATGGTAATCTTGGTATGATGTAATCTGCACATCAAACCCTATCAGAAGTTATATTTCAAAGTACATCTCTGGACACTTGCTCACCTGCAAGGCTATTCTGTATATGAATGACTAAAAACCTGCCATTCAGGATTATTCAAAGTTCCTTAATTATACTGTACTCAAATTTTAGGTTTAAATTATCAAAGAAAGATTAAGCCTAAATTCCTTTTGCCCCTTTTATTTCAATTTAAGTAAATCACACTCAATAAAATCTAGATGTATCTATAGCACTACACAAGTCATACAGTGATATATTCTTGTAAAAATAATCTAGTATGAAAAAATAAATCTGGCATGGGTAAGACTCAATGTCCTCTTGAGCATACCACTGCCATAGGACCAAGCACCCACCAACAGCCTTTTGCCAAGTGAGCTTTCAAATCTTGTTTAGAAATTTTACATACATACTGTATGCTTATAGAAACAAAACTTTCCATTTTAAAAATTACAAACTGTTCAGTAGCCTGCTTTTCTAACAGTATCTACGAATTAATAAAGTACACAGAGGCCAGTTTAATATTTTTCAGTGGAGAGAGTAATCTCTGACAGATTACAATGGTAGGAAGGCAAAATCTGTCTCTGACAGATTACAACTGTAGGAAGGGGTGTGTGTACAATACATCAAAGAATAGTCTAGTATTTGCTCCCCTGTACACATATGCAGGCATATTTCCCGAGAGAAGACACTATGATGTGAACTTACTAGTGTATCTAGAATTCTGCATTTTTAAATGTTGACACTATGTTAAATAGCCCTCCAAAATCAAAGGACACTGTAACTATACAGCAACAATTTTAACTTTTAAATCTGGGAAAACTGACTAAAGCTATCTCTGCCCTTCTTAACAAATTTCAAAGAATATTTATAATTTTTATATTTAATATTTACAATATTTGATGGACACTGGTGTCCATCAATCATCAATCAAGCCAACTGTTAACATTTTCACATAAAAATGCAAGCTTGAAAAGAACCAGTTTTAAATACTATGCTTTTTATGTTTTTGTTTCAATTTACCAATTCTAAAGTAACCATTATGCCAAAATATACTATCTTGAATGCTACAACAATAAAGCCTACAGATGTCTATATCAAAGTTTACTTTTCACAGCTAAGCACAAAGGGAAGTCTAAGAGAGGCCGCACTACCAAGAAATCAGGCCTGAGGCCAGGCTACTCCCCAGCTCACTGCAGACTCCCAGCATTTAGGAGGCTGAGGCAGCAAGCTGAGTCCAGCCTGGCCAACAGCATCAGTTCCCAAGAACCTCTCTATGGGTCATTTACTGGGACTTCTGCATGAATCACCTCAGCATGAATCACCTCTAGAGCCTCCCTCTATGCTTTTATTATCGGTCAGCTACATGACCTAAAATCTCTAGTTATTTAATACTCAAAGAAAATGGGAGAAGCAAATTTTCAAGGTAAGGTAGTTAATACCGTAATTTGAGCTTTAATTTTAAGTAAGCACCTTTTCATTCTGGCATTTTGACTCCTATAACTCAAACCATGTCATCTAAGTTATGCACTGAAGCAAAAGCAAATGCAAACTACACATATCAAACCAACCTTTTTGCTTCTCCTAAAACTGATGGTGAACCTTTTAGAGCTTTCAATGATAACAAACAGCTGGCTGCAGCACGTGCATGTTCTAGAACATTTTTTTCAGGCCTTCAAATTTTCTTAGCTGATAAAATTAACATTTGGGGAAAAGATGGCACAAAGATTTTTAAATAATGTAATTAAGTACCACATAGATTTTGATATATCAGAACCCTTCTAAAATTGTCAAGTGGCAAAGACTGGAATAAATGAATTCAAGCAAAAAAGATTTTGTATAAACTTCCTGGAACAAAGTTAAAATGAAATAATCTATTAATAAGATCTTATTCCAAAGAACTGCTGGGTGTGGTGACACATGCCTATAATCCCAGCACTTGAGGCTGAGGCTGGAAGATTGCTGGAAGACCAACCTGGGCTGCACAGTGAGTTCAAGACCAACCTAAACTACATAATGAAACCCTGTCTTAAAAAAATAAGAACTGTGAAAAGTTAAAATTTAATGCCATTTTAGAGTATTAATAATCTGAAGACTCACTTGAAAGGTAATCACTGAGCATATTAGTTTACTATCAGTGTCCTCTGGGCAATCTGGGTTTGGATTTAAGTATCTCACAACTTTTATTTTCAACATACTATAATCAGGTCAGCTACTCAGAAGGTTGAAATGTGAGGATTGCTAGAACTCAGGAGGTTCCAGACCTGCCTTGGGGAACAACAGTGAGACTTCATCTCAAAACACTCTCTCTCTCAACTATAAAGTAAATGATCTATAGGTCGGACATTTTTAAACATGGGCCAAGCCAGGCGTGGTGGCACAAGCCTGTAATCCCAGTACTCAGGAGAGGAGGCTGAGGCAGGAGGAGTGTTGTGAATTTGAGGTCAGTCTGGGGTACAAAGTGAGTTCAAGACCAGTCTGAACTGCAGAGTAAGATGGTTTAAAAAAAAAAAAAAAAAAGCCACAGGCCATCCTAACATGAAGTTAGGATGAAAGTAGACATTTGTTTTTTTAGGGGGGTACCAGGGATCAAACTCACGACCTCGCACTTGCCAGGCAGGCGCTTACGCCACTGAGCTATATCCCCAGCCCAGAAGTAGACCTCATAAATCATCCATGCCAAGATTTTTCAAGGAAGACAATTAAAAGGGGAAAAAAGTCCACACACCAAACAAAAGACTGACCAACCTCTTATTCTTAATTTCATTAAGGGCACATGATAACATTTAAAAACAAAATGAGGATGGGCATGGCAACACGTTATCTATATTCCTAGCACTTGGAAGGCTGAGGCAATAGGATTGCAGAGTTCCAGGTCACTCTGAGCTACATAGAGTTCAAGGCCAGCTGGGATAACCAACGAAGACTGTCTCAAAAACAAACAACCACAAAATGATTACAACCCTGTCAAAGTTCTTTGCAT